CTTTTTTAATAAAAAGTTATTGAAACGACGTAGTTTTAAGATGATTTTCCTCATAATCTTTAGGAGGTAAGGCTGACAAGAGCTTTTTCCTATATATATATATATATATATTGAAGATGATGATATGGTTAGAGTGTCAAACTCTCTACATTTACCAAAATAGAAGGTAACCAAAACAACGGGAAAGCCAGAATGAGGCATTGACGGTGCGCCCTAGGATTTTGTGGTTTAAATCTCCAATTCTGGCATTACCTGTCACTTGAATCAGATTGAATCCAGTGAAATTCCTACCTATTAAAGGCGTAGGAATACCCAGGTTCAAGCCATTCAGACTCCAATATTGGAGAATTTATGGTCCAGAGACACTGTCATATGCACAACTAACCATGATGATATTAAAGAGGTGAAAGTGAGTTGAGTCTATGATGCTGATAATGTCCCTTCATCTCACAGAAGGGAGGCTACTTCCGTTGGGTTTTGTCTGTTGTGGGAGGAAGATGTTGCTAAAAGCAAGTGACCAAGTGGGAGAGAGGGACTGAAGCCTAAATCACAGGACAAAGAAAGCAAACCTTCCATGGCCACAGTGTAGTTATAGAAGTCTCTGCCATTGACAACCACTTCGTACCCTGCATTCACCACTCCCTCCGCCGCAAGCACTCTCCTGCACGCAAAAACCAAAAGACAACAAAGCATTGGCCAAATAAAGACTCCTTGCTTAAGAAAAATCTTCAAAGACTTCACCTTGGTCACCACCCAGATCATTATTTTCTTCACTTAATGATCTTAGATGAGTTCTACTGCCAATTTGATGCCTTTCCTTCAAATCTTGATGATCAGATCCATCTTCATCTTGATTATCCCTCTTGAGGACAACTTTGATGCTCTCACCAGCCCTAGAAATATGATATTTAAAAGTTAAAAGAACATTTTGATAGTTATTTACAGTGTGAGATTAACTGTGCTTTTACTTCAAAATGAATTGAAAACCACATTGCAATTTTAACTATTTACTTTATCCTCTCCCTTTTATCTTCTTCATTTGTTTTTTTATTTTTTAAGCAGTGGTCACTTAATCATAAAGCATAATAATCCCACAACAGTCACAATAAACAGAATTTCACTTGCAAATGGGATCAGAAATATCAAGTTCATAAGTCTGGCTATTTTAAAGATTCCTACGATCAAGTTTATAATTCTCCTTTTAGTGCTCTATACACCATAACAATGAAAACCAGTAATAGTATAGAATAATATACCTCTAGCATTTTGATATTCAAGTCCTCAGCCAATAAATAGATGCATGGGCATGGACATCATATACTCCCTCTGCTCTCATTACAATATAGCCAGTTTTCTTCTGGATCTCCTCCTGTTAATACAATTAGCAGCAATGCATAAAATAAGAATCACTTGAGAATCATTATACATATGTATAAATGAATCACTTAAGAATCAAGTAGAGCTGAACCTTTCAACCTATAGAGTAAAGAAATATCTACATGACGTGAGAAGTGACATGAAATTCCTTGGTCACATGGAAAATACAGAAAAAGTACATGCCAAACTAAATGAGACCAGAAGCTGGTGACATAAAGCAGCATCTAGATCAACTGGTCTGTAGAAAATTAGCAGCACATGTATAACACCAATTTGTTGTGGACTTCATCAACAAGTTTTCTTAGCATCCCCTTGCTGAGGAATAATAGAATCCAATATCTAAAGTTATCTATGTAGTTAAAAGACTTGCCCCCAATAACAGATTCAGTAGAACATTAAGGTCATTAATGAGGTAATTAGGCTTACCTTTGAATCATTTTCATCAAAGATTTCTTCAAACATTCTCCTCAACCACATGTTCTAAGGTTACTATCTGCTCCATCAAAAAATGAGTACATAAATATATAAAATCAATCAATCAATAAAATGAGCACAAATACTGTTAAATAAGCAATCCAAAAGAGAAAGAAAACCCATGCATGGTAAGTTGACTACATTCTAGACTTTTTGTGTTCTCATGCTACATATTCCACTCTTATCTGAACTTTAGAAGAAAAATGATTTCAAAACATATGAGAGAGCATTCGAGTTTCAACTGCAGGGAACTCCTCTGTCTCCTTTACCATGTTGAACCTGAAATTAATGTTACATGCCAAACCTTCTGAAGTTGTAAGATTTGAATAACATCCTAGTGCTAGGACCTCATGAGTTAAGGATTGAGGGGTCATACCAACTATTTAGACTTTAAGTGGTCAACATATTATCCTATTTGACTTTTTACCATCATTCGTTTTATTGAGTTTATGTTATGGCATTTGGATGCCAACAAACAATGAACAACTACTACCTCAAGTGGGAAAAAAGAACAAGCTAATAAAGAATAAGGTTTTGTCTTTAGGACTTTTAGCTACAATTGAAAAAATTTTGTTTAGCCTCTTAGCAGGGGAAGCATTGTTAGCATCTAACTGTAGAATAAAGTTTAAAATATCACAAATGTTGTCTTGTATTGTTTCAAGATATTACAAGTTACATAAGTTGACATGCGTCACAAAATAAAAATAAATAAAAAGGCAGAAGTTGGAACTTTATCATAATAAAAAATCTCAACACAATGGATGATTCTGTTTAAGTAGAGTTTCAATATGAGGCTTTGCGCATACCGCAACGTTTCCGCCATATCCATTAAGAACAACGGCCATGTGAACCTTTCTGATCTGGAACTCTGTAAGAAGATTCTGCACTGACATTGAATCTGCAAAACCAGTTTTCTAAATATTACTGTATAGATAATTGAAGCATTCTATTTTTTCCATTTTCTTTTCCCCTAGACAATAACTACTAAAACAACAAATCAATCTACTGAAATAGGAGTTGCACTTGCATCAATTGCAACCATATCAACAAGGGGTGTCTTTACCTCTAACATGAGTATCCTTTATCTCTAATACATTTTCAATCATATCCTGCAAGGAATTCATAAAATTAGAGCATCTAAACTGTAAACAAACAGAAAGGCACCTGTTGGCAAAAAAATTAAATTGGA